GTCTGTTTTCTTTCTCTTTCTTAAGAATTCCCTGGCGATCCGTTTTCTTTCTTTCACAGCAGACTGGCAGGTCTGGCACTCACACAAATGGCACACAGCCGAGGGAAAGAATTTCACGACGCGTAAAGCCGTATGTCATTGTGTGGTGGCGGCGTGCCGTCCACCCCGCGGCACCGTCCTCCCATCCGCATCCTTCCTTGGCCGTGGCTGTTTTATTTCTTTCTTAGGAGGCTGCCAACCACATTAAAATCATGATTAAAATAGTCATAGTCATCACGCCCCTCGGCCTCTCTCTGCACTCTGGTGCCTAGCCATGCCACATGCCCACGAACAGACACACTCTGGGCCGGCCCACTGACACTACAGATCCCTCGCGCCGCGCTCCGCCGCCCCACGGTCCACAGCCCCACGGGGTCCTCTCTCACGTCTCAGCGCCGCCCCACGCCCCACGCCAGCCCCAGCGTCCACGCGCCCCCTTACTGGATCTTGCTCGCCAGCGTGGAGACCCCCGACTGCAGCGAGGAGGACATGGTCGAGGTGAGCGCTTTGATGCGCTTCGAGTCGATGCTCGGCGCGGCGATGCCGAGCCCCGACAGCCCCCCGGTGAGCGAGTCCAGCCCCGGCTGCTGCATCGGCTGCGGCGTCGGCGCGCCGCCCGCCGAGGGCAGCCGCTTCACCTCCTCGAGGAAGGAGGCGGAGTTGTGGATCGTGGTCCCTCCGAGCAGCACGCGCACGCCGGGGTTGGCTGTGTTCATCTCGGAGACGTAGCGCGACTCCTCGTACGTGACGCCGCCCACCATGAAGACGATCACCTCGACGGGCGCTCTCCGCTTCGCGCCGGCCGTCGGCGGCTCGCTGCCGAGGTGCGGGTACCTACAGCCGGCGCGACTTCCGCGGCTGAGCCGGCGCGGGCGTGGGCAGGCGGCGACCGTGTGCGGGTGGCGGTTGCTGAGTCTCGGTGAGGGTGCCCTTGAGCAGCGCGTCGAGGGTCTGCGCGAGGTAGGGCGAGTGCTGCGTGTAGACGTTTTGCACGCCCTTGATGTTCCGCTGCAGGCTCTTCTTGGTCGCCGCGAGCCTGCAGCCGGGGGAGGGGCCGCGGGGCACGGGTGGGGGCGGGGGTGGGGTGGCGGGAGGCGGAGGCGGCAGGCGGAGGCGGCGGCGGGAGGCGGGAGGCGGGAGGAGGCGGGAGGCGGGAGGCGGGAGGAGGCGGGAGGCGGGAGGCGGGAGGCGGGAGGCGGAGTCGAGCGGCATCGGTCGTCAACGAGAGGGAGGGAGGGAGGGGCGGGGGCGGGAGCAAGATGGGAGGGTCGCGCGCGCCATGTCTTGTTGGAGAAGAGGTCGCCGCTGCGCACGGCCGCGCCGCAGTGGGCCAGCATCTGCGAGACGGCCTGCCGCGCGTCCGCGCCGAGCATGTCGCAAAAGGTGTCGATGCGGTTCGAGGGCTCCTTCTCGTACCGCAGCGCGTAGAGCAGCACGAGGCGCAGCTTGTTCTGGTCGGCGATCGACGGCTTGCGCAGGAGCGCGAGCACCTCTGTGACGGCGGAGGAGTGGTCCTCGGTGCAGGCGAGCTCCTGCTCGACTTGCGAGACCTGCGAGGCACGCGCCGCGGCCGGGTCGGTGCGCGGTGCCCAGCCGCGCGCGAGCCTCTCCCCCCGCCCGAGAGGCGCGTCGCCTCCATCAGCTGCTGCGACTCGACGAGCCGGTTGATCTCGCCGAGCAGGGTGACGTGCTTGGAGACGTCGCCCGACAGCTTCTTGAACTGCGGGTACGCCTGGCGGTGGAGGAGGAGGGGGGGGGGTGTGAGCCCTCCCGGTGAAGAGGTGTGTGCTGGCCGCTGAAGCAGCAGCAGACGCGCCTCGACAAACTGCTGCATGTCGGCGATGGAGCCGATGTTCTTTGTCGACTTTGTCTTTGCCTGGAAGGCGTCGAGCAGGCCCTTGACGTTCTCGGCGAGGTCGCCGTAGTTGAGGAGCATATTGTCCGCGAAGAAGGCGTCCTGCACGCGCGCGGGGAGGAGGGTCCCGAGAGGGGTCCGAGGAGGGTCCGAGGAGGGCTCCGGAGGGGTCCGAGAGGGCTCCGAGAGGGGTCCGAGGAGGGGTCCGAGAGGGGTCCGAGAGGGGTCCGAGGAGGCAAGAGGTGGCTACTCCTCGGGCCGAGGCGATGGCAGTGGAGACGGCTCGGGCGTAGCAGGCGATGGAGGGTGTGCTGCGACGGCTCGGGCGAGGGCGGGTGTGGCGGTGGCGAGGGGCGGGGCGGGCGGCGCCTGGTCGGCAGAGAGCACCAGCTGCTGCAGCTCCTTGTCCACGCCTGTTCACAGCAGGAGGTGTGAAGAGACGCTGTTCACAGCTCCTTGTCGACGCCTGCAGCCACACGACAACAGCCCCGCGACACACGCGACACACACGCCCGCGCAGACGCGCGCCCGATCCCCGCGTGGCCAGCCGCTCTCTGCTCTCAGCCAGCCGCTCGCGCGAACAACCGCTCGCCGCCAAACCCTCTCCCTCTCCCCTCTGCGCGTGTGGGCGCGGCCGCCCCCGCCC